TCAGCACAGAGGGCCTCATCCACCCGTTCGACATCAGCTTCTGCAGGAAGGGCCTCAGCACAGGTCTCACCCGCGTCGCCTTCCAGATCGAGGGCCTCCATGGGGGCTTTGTCCATCAGCTCCACAGAGGCCTCAGCCACCGGCTTTGCACCAAGGGCCTCAATGGAGGCTTCAACCCCCGGCTCTACACTGACTTGTGCAGCAAGGGCCTCAACAGACGCCTCATCCGATGGTTCCACATTGACTTCTGTGCTCGGGGGCTCAATGGGGGCCTGGCCCATCAGCTCTGTGTCAGCTTCCACAGCGAGGGCCGCCATGGTGACCTCTTCCTCCTCTGGGGCGGCACACTGCTCCATGCCCACGTCCTCCTCGCTGCCGTCAGTCGGCTCCAGAAGCGAGGGGCTCAGGGCCACCTCATGCTGTGCAGACCCCCCCGCAGACACCCCAGTGCCATCCAGCTGTGCCGTGTCACCACGCAGGTGCAGCTCGATGTCCCCAGAGGCCTCTGAGGAAGGCTCGGTGTCCCCAGGAGTGGCAGCGGCCATTTGCGGTCCCCCCAGCGCGTGGCGCTCAGTGCCGTAGAGCCGCTCATCCTCCTCACCGTCGTAGGAGGCCGAGTCAGAGGAGGCCGAGGTGTCATCGTGGAAGGCAAAGGACTCGTCCACCCCTTCGTTGATGGAGGTTTCTGAGAGAGAGCGCAGGAAGGAGGCTGAGGTGCTGGCGTCCTCCTCTTCATCTTCATCCTCCTCATCCTCACCCGAGAGCGGCTCGGCCGCTGCCTGGGCTGGCACCAGGGTGATCTCCACAGCTTCAGCCTCGAAGAGCAGGCTGCCACGGAAGGGCAGCAGTGCAGCAGGGATGAGCCCAGGGGCAGCCATGTGGGAGTGGGGCAGCCTGAAGCCTTCCTCCTGCCCGCTGCCTTCATCATCATCATCTTCTTCTTCATCCTCCTCCTGCCCTATGGAGGTCACAGCCACATCCTCTGAGGAGGAAGAGGAGGACGAGGAGCGGCGGATGAAGGCTGCAGGACCAGGCTCACCATCAGGGACCTCTGCCAGCAGGTTGGGTGAGCAGGAGGGTGACGTGCTGGCCGTGCCCGAGGACCCCCAGCTGCCCCCTTCGGCCGTCATGTAGGAGCCAGATGGGGAGGTGGGGGGAGAGCCCAGCCCCTCACTCTCTGCATCCCCTCCATCCTCCTCAGGCTTCAAGCGGGGTCCCCCCGTCCTCACCGGGGTGGAGGGGGCTGTGAAGAAGAGGTCAGGGTCGAGGCGGGCGGGGGGCAGCTCGGGATGCCGGGGGGGTGTTTTAGGGGGCAGCTCAGGGGGGCAGTGCGTCTCTTCGCCCATCACGATGCGAGTGTCCAAGGGGTCAGAGGGGAGCAACGATGGAGGCGGCGGCGGGGGGCAGCCCTTGGAGGGGGGGCTGCGCTCGGCTGCATCATAGCTGGCCCCCTCCGGCTGCGGGCGGGCTTCCTCTTTGGCAGGCATGGGGGCAGCGGGGTCCCCTGGGGGGGCTGCAGAGAGAGAGAGAAGGTTAGAGCGTCTCCGGGACCCCCCCCAAAAAAGCTTTCCTCTTCTCCCCCATGGGGACACCAGTGACAGTCACGTGGATTTGGCCCTAACCGAATGGAGAGTACAGAGATGTAGAGTTCGCCACGACACCCCTCTTCCCCTCCCCCAAACAAAGCCACCATCAGTGAGCTGAGGACTCCCTCCCCCACTCCATGCCCTCATACCAAGGAGGTGATGGCAGCCATCCCTAGGGCAGGATTATGGGTGCCCCCCCTGCTGTAAGGGAGTATTAAGGAAGGCTGAGCCGGGGGAGGGGGGGGCACTGCAGGGTTAGGGGCCTGTGCCAGAAGAATAAGTAGGAACAATTAACACCCTCCCCCCCCTCCCCTTTCCCTTCCTCCCTCAACCCCACCTATGGGCAGAACATCATTGAGTGCCCCAGAGCCCCCCTAAAGCATTACAACCCCCCTATAGGGACAGAGCACAGTACTGCCAAGCCCCCAAACCCCAGAAACCAACACATACCCCCCCACCCCCTCCCCTCACTACTCAATAGGGCACTGAGCTCAGCCTAACTCACCCCCACCAGCCCTAAGCAACATGGACATAAACTGCTTCTCAAACCCATAGGAGCCCCAGAACTCTAAGGAGCCCCAAAACCACAGCAGCAACCCCAAAATCCTCAACAGAACATCACCCCCTTCAGCCCCCATTACCTGAAGTCCGTTCAGGTGGCTCCATGGGGCAGAGGAGGGACTCTAGAAGCACCCAGAACCCCCCACCAGCAACACCCAAAGCACCAACCCTACTACTACCCCATATGTGCCCTATGGGGTTTATATAGGGGTGAGGAGGTGTGGTCAGGGTCCAGGGGCTGCTGGGAAGAGGGCAGAGCCTCCCCAGGTGTTTAAGGGGAGGGGGGTGGATTGGATGGGGCTGTTAGGGTGGGTTCTGCCTGTAAGTGCTGAGTTGGGATCAAGGGTTGTGAGGGAACATAGGGGCCCTTAAAGCTGTGTATGCTACAAGGACAATATGGGGACATCCCTATACCCCAGGATATAGCTTGGGGGGGTTGGGCACTGTGTCCTAAATCTGAGCCCTCCAAGTGGGGATGGGGATTTTAGGGCCCATTCTCATTCTGTCCTATGGGATGATACCCAAATACTCACCATGGGGACACCCCAATACAGGACTCCCCCCCATTGCTGAGCCCTCTCTATGCTGCTCCCCCCCCCCCCCAACTCAAAGTGGTCCACTTTAAACCCCACCCTGCCTGGGGCTCGGGGGACGATGGAAGCCCTGAGTCCCACATCCCCTCCTGCACCCCCCCCAACCCCCTTTTACAAAGTATCCCCCACCCCATTGCTGTGGGGACACACAGTGGGATGGCAGCACCGCTTGGGGCCCCCCCAGGGCACATTGCTGCAGGGTGACCTTGGGCCAAAGTCCATGAGGGTGAGGGGGGAGACTGGGGGGGGGAAAGGCAGTGAGATAGGGGCGAGGGAACACGCGCTGCTGTCACCCCTAGGTGACATGGGGATGGGGGTACAGTGGGATCTCTGGGTCCTAGGAGGGGGGCGGTGGCCCCAGCATCTCCCCAAGGGTGAAGGAAAGCTTCAGCCTGAGCAACGCCACTGTGTCCTCCATCCCTGTATCTCCCATTCCCACATCCCCCATCCTCCAGCTCTGTCCCTGCAGCCTCCATCCCCCATTCCCATATCCCCCATCTCCATATCTCCGTATCCCCCATCCTCATATCTCCCATCCCCGTATCCCCTATCCTGTATCCCCCATCCCTGTATCCCCCATCCCCATATCCCCCATCCCCATATCCCCCATCCCCGTATCCCCCATCCCTGTATCCCCCATCCCCACACCCCCCTCCCACCCCCCTCATCCTCACCTCCCTCCAGCTGCAGCCCCTGACTCGTAGCCGTCTCTCCAGGCATAACGGTGGGGTTGGGGGACCCCAAATCCGGGGGGGGACCCCAACCCCAACCCCAATCCCAAGCCGGCCCAGCGCGGCGCGGCTCTGCGGGGTGAAGGCGGCTGCGCCGGGCGAGGCAGAGCGTGGCGGGGGGGCGCTCAGCCCGGATGATGTCAGCAGGTTCTGTGTGTGGGGTTGGGTTTTTTTGTTGGTTTTTTTTTTTCCCTTTCCCCTCTCTCCTTTCCCTGCCTTTTTTTTTTGTTTGTTTGTTTGTTTAATTATTATTTTTCCTGCCCGGGATGAGAGCAAGGTTGTGTGCGCCAGGCACTGCGGCGGTGCAGCGCAGCCGGGTGTGCGGTGGAGGTGTAGGGGGAGGTGGGAAGAGGGGGGGGGGGGGGGGGGGGGGAGGATGTCCCTCCGTTTGCCCCATCCCTGCGGTGATTTTGGGGACGTTGGGGTGGCTCCTTACACCCCCTAACACGATTCCCACAGCAGACTCAGGGCCCCCCCCCCTGCACCCCGAAGCGATGCTGAACACATTGGGGTCCCCCACGCCGAGGGGAAGCAGGATGGGGCCGGTGTGCTGTTGCCATGGGAACAGCCCGTCTCCCATCTCCATGGCGATGGGGATGGGTTCCCTGGCAACCTTTACCCCCCCCCCCCCCCCCCCCCCCCACAATGCCATGTGGTTGGGAGACCCCCGGATGGTTGAATGGACACACAGCCCTTTGGATTGGGGGACAAAGGGGATGCTCAGCACCCACAGATCGCTTTCTCCTGGTTGGGGACCCTCCCCCCTATAGGGGCAGGCCCCCCCCCCCCCATGGCACACCCCGTGCTGCTGCCTCCCACCCGGGCACGCAGCGCTGCCGGCCCTGGCGTGATGCCGGTGCCAGGAACGGCGCTGAGCCGTGACTCAGCACCCGGCTGCGGCCCCAAATGGCGCTGATTGGGCACCGGCCAGAGGGGCAGCAAGAGATGCAGTGGGGGTAAGCGATGCCCCCACAGCCCAAATCCGTTTGCTCGTAGCCCAGATGGCCGCTTAATCCGCCCTCAAAGCCTTTCCTGGCAGCCAGCTCCGTGCGTCACAGCAGGAGGGCTTTCCTGTGTTCCTCTTGCCCGGCTCGGGCTACCAGCTTCAGAGCTTGGATGGAGGCTGTCCCCCATCCCCAGACCTAAAAACCATCACTGGGGGGCATCTGTGCCACCCTTGTCCACCCACCCCAGGACCACCGCCAACAAAAACCCCATTAGGAACAATAAAACCCCACCGCCCACCAGCACAGCCCTTCTTCCACCCCACTCCCACAGGTTGGGGACACACAGGGGACACGGTACAGCAGAGGGTGGCTTTATTGAAACGCAGCTAACTGGCCAACTCCTTGGCCACCACCTTGTGGAGTTTGTCACGGAGGTACGCCACCCGCTGCCGCTCCAGCTTCAGCTCCAGGAACTCATAGTGGGGGACCTGGGGAAGGAGAGGAGAGGCAGTGAGCAATGGGGACATCACCACGGGGACATCACTATGGGGACAGCACCATGGGGACGTGCTCAGTTCCCAGCCATGTACGTGGCATGTTTTTATCCCCGCCATCCCACAGCAGGGATGTGGGGCCCATGAAGCACAGGTGATGCTGTGGCAGCCCTTGGGCCGGCGCGCACCATGGCAGAGGTGGCACCGAATTTGACGAGGCTGCAAGGAGGGCACCGTTCCCTTATCACAGCCTCGGGGGCATTGGGATGTTTCCTCAAAGCACAAAGCATTGCTATGGGGTGTTTCCTCCAATTAGGATGGCACAAAGCACTGCTATGGGGACTGCTTGCAGCCAGCCCAGGGCAGAGCCCGGATCCTTCCCGTTGTGATCTCAGAGCTCTGAAACCCTCTGAATTTTTCATCCCAGCTGCAGAGTACGTGCAGGGCTTCATGGTCTGCTTGCTCCCATTTGCGCATCCCGGCCTCCCTGCCCAGCAGCACAGCAAGCCCTGCCTGGTGAAGATGCATCACTTCTTCAGAGACGAGCTGCAGCCAACCAGGAGGAGGGAACAGCACTGGAACGAACGCTGTTTGCGCAGCGCTCGCTTGTTCTGATGGCTCCAAGCCGCCGCAGGGAGCAGACAGGGGGGATCCCACCGCCCACCACCACTATATTTAGCACAAGGCTCGAGCTGAAGGAAGCAGTTCCCTCCTCCTCCTCCTGTCTCCCCACCTGAAATCTCTCCAGCCAGTGAGCGCACGCGGGCTGCAGGGGCTTCGCTTTGTATCAGCATCAAAGAGCGGCAGCTCCGTGCGAGGGGATGCAAATTTGGGTTGCTCGCAGGGAATGGAGTTTGATGTGGGGTGACAGTGCTGGGGGACACGTGGCACGCCGCCCTCCTGCCCCACTGGAGCCATCCCTGCCTGCTGCACAGCTCTGCCAGCACAGCTATAATTACCTCCGGGGGCTGAATAATGCATGGCCCCAACGGAGCGCAGCGCTGCGGCGCAGGGATCAGCGTGCTAAGACCTTGTCTGCTGTCCTCCTCCATTACTGATCCCCTCTCTGCCCTGGGGCTGCCTGACAGGTGGCCCGGAGGGGATCACGATGGCTAATCCCAGCACGGGGCCACGGTCAGCACCAGGTGCTGGGGGCTGGATACTCACATCCACAACAAGGAAGCCGGCTGCCTGGATGTGGCGCCGAGCCATGGCGTAACGGCCCAGCAGCTCCTTGCTCCTGTTGCTGAAATTTGGGAATTCCCACCTGAGGAAGGCGACCCTGCAAGAGGGGTGGAAGAGAGCAGTGAGACTGGTGCTGGGCAACCTCAGCCTCAGAGCAGCTTCGAGCACGGATGGCTCAAACTGAGTTGATCCGCAGCCCACGCTGGATGGCAGACGTTGCCTTTCCCAGCCAGGAAGGAGTCAGCTTGGCCCCTGGGCTCTGTGGGCAGCCAGGAACGGTGGCAGACAGTTGGCACAGGCTCTCTATGGAGGACGTGCCAAACAGGGGAGGCTGCTGCCACAGCCAGCATCCTGCCCTGTCCCTTGCAATGTGACCCACGGCAGCTTGGCACGGTCCTACCCCCTTTTCTGTCCAGACCAGTGGACGCAGCTGGGCACAGTGACCTTGGCACGCTGGCATCCCCACGGCACTGTCCCCTGCTGCCTGCAGCCAGCCACGGGGACAGCAAAGCCTTGTCCCTCCCACCGTGCCTGGTGCAGCTGAGCCCAAACCCACCTCCTGGCACCCGGCGGCAGCGGCTTTGTCCCTTCTGAGTGGGGCAGATGGGGAGCTGCAAAGTTCTTCAAGGGGAGAGGTTTATTCTCGCTGTTCAGCACCATTTCAGCATCTGCAGAGAGGAGGAAAAGGAAGGAATCCTGAGGATGCTGTTCCACGGAGGCTGGGGATGCCCTCACCGTGGGGCCGACACGGGGCACGGCATCCATCAGGCAGGGCCCCAACCACCTCCAGCACAAAGCCTGTCTGTGGCACCATTTTGTCCCCAGAGTCCCACAGGAAGGGACGTGGGGCACAGACTACAGCTCTGCTGTGGCAGCCGGATGGCCGGCCCCAACCACGGAGGGGGCAGGGACTGAATTTGACGGGACTGCATTGGTGAGGCAGAGGGATGTGAGGCTGAAGAATGAGATACAACCTCAGGCACAAAGCCTTTATGTTGATCCCCCTGCAGCATGCAGACTCCAGTGAGCCCCGCTGCTCCAAGGAGAGGCTGTGCTCACCGATCCGCCAGCCATAGATGGTGTGCACGTCCCAGCGCCCGTTGTCCTGGCTGCCCAGCACGCCTGCCAGGGCCTCCCGCAAGCTGCTCTGCAGCAGGGTGACCTTCTCTGCTGCTGGCTCTGCAGCACTCAGCATCCCAGCCGGCAGGAACGGCCCCTGGTACTCAGGGCTCTCCAGCTTGGCAGCAGCATTGATTTGGATGAGCTTCATCCGCAAGTTCTGAGCCCTGGGGGACAGATCGCCTGGCAGGAGGAGGAAAACAAAGAGCTGATCCTGCGGCTTGCTCAGCTCATCCAATCAGGATTTCTGGTCCCAATCCCACTGCTGCTGCTCAAACAGGACCTGAGAATCCACCAGGATGGATCTCTAAGTGCTGGCATCAAGATGCAGATCGCCACATACCTGCAGAAGGGGCAGCACTGCCCGAGCACAGGGCGAGACCCAGCTGAGCCCCTGTTGGAGGGCACAGCCCCCAGTGTCTGTGGCATGATTTTATCCCCAGGGTCCCATGGGAGGGGACGTGGGGCCCATGGACTACAGATGTTGCTGTGGCAGCCGCATGGCCAGTGCTCACCATGGAGGAGGCAGAGACTGAATTTGACTGGGCTGCACCTCCCCCATGCGTGGCTAAGAAACACCAAGCCCTCCCCTCACGTCTAAGTGCTTGGGGAAAATGTGCAGGCGGCGCTGGAGCCAAGAACAAAGCTGAGCCTTGAGGCATAAGAAAGCTGAAGGCAACGTGGCAGCCTGCTGGGCTCAACCCCACAGGCACAGTGCAGGGTAGACCAACCCCTCCAAGCTCAACAGCTGAGCTCACAGCCTGTGCTGGCCCGAAAGTAGATGCACTGGACCCAGTACTCCCACTCCCTGAGCTCTGACTCCATGTCCCACCTTACCTTGGATCACAGCGTGGAAGTCGGGTGCCAGCACACGCTGCAGGTAGGGAGGCTTGGCTTGCTGCAGCACACAGAGTGACCAGACCAGGTCGGTCAGCAGCTGGGGCTCCAGGCTGTCCAGCTGGCCCTGCAGCTCCTCATGGGCCTGCCAGAGCCAAAGCCACAGCTCAGCACATCTCTGCAGACGGCCCTGCTTCTGCAGTGCTTCTACTGGGCTATTTGCTGATAGAATTCAGGATTGCTCTACAGCAGCCTTGCTGCAGGTTCACAGTTCCAGGTGCTGGTGTTGTTTTTTTTTTGTGTGTTTGTTGGTTTTTTTTTGCAATGCCTCAAAAATCAAGTTTTGCACTTGCTACAAAACCTCCCTTCATGCTGACTGTGATTAGCATTGGCAAAGAGTCCAGATCCCACTGCCAACCAGGGATGCTAACCCTATCTCTGTGGCACGAGGGTCTCCCTCCACTTGGTCTCATCTCTTCACCCTGGGCTGCAGAAATCTCCCTGCAAAGCCCCCAGGCAGGGCAGCAGTGAACAGCTCTATGGATGGCAGCCTCCATTCTTCCCAACAGCACTGCCACACCCAGGGCTTGGATGGGCTGGGAGACCTCTGATCTGCTGAGAATGAGTGATCTTATGGCTTCGTTATGGAGCTAATTGCAGCAATCAGAGTTCAGGAAGGCACCTGAACAACCACGTGCTGATTATGTCTGCTGGAAGAGCTAGCCTACAGGGATTTGGTGCTAGCCAGGGGCAAACCAGTTTGGTTATCAGCCAGCACACAGCCACAGGGCATCAGTATGGGTTTTTCAGCCTGGCCCGAGCTCTGGGCTCCCCATTTCCATTTCCTGCACCCACTCATGCTCCAGGTTATGCCAGGATACATGCAGCCTTCCCACCGACTCCAAAGAGGAGGAAGGTTGACACAGAGGGGAAAAGGAGGCAGGTTACCATGTTAAAGAAGTCCTCGCTTCCGCTGGGCTGGAAGTTAAGGCGGGCAAAAGACAGGATGATACTGCACAGGTGGGCAATGGACAGCTGCTTGGCATTGTCCAGGGCATACTGGAAGACAAGAGAGAGCAAAACCAGAGGTTGAGAAATGAGTACCGACAGAAAAAGATTGCAAACATCATCCAAGGAGATGCCCAGACCCATGACAAGATGGGAACAAGAAGGAAAGGATCTTTCAGTGCCTCCCTAGGATTTTATCCTGGTGCAAGGGAAAGCTGTGAGTGGAAGCAGAGCTCTGTAATATTCCCATATGCCTGGTACAGGCCCAGGTGCAGGCATCAGAACTGGGGCAGAGACTGTGGAGCTGCCTCTGGAGCAGAGGCTCAGAAAGAGCTGAAGCTGACCCCAGAGCTGCGTGGATTCTGACTGCTGACTGCAGTGGAGCATCTCTAGTAAGAGAAGAATTGTTCTAGGTGTCCCAGTCATATATCAGCAGGTGCTACCCAGGCCCTCTGCCTCCTCACCTGAGAGATGGCCTCAAACAGAGGCAGGCTGAGCCACTTGAGGAGGGCAAAGGAGCGGATGCAGCGCGTCACCTCGACGGGTGTCATTGCAGAAACGTGGGGCTGCAGGTCAGTGGCTATCTTCTGGAAGACCTGGGGCTGGTGGAAATTCAGTTTTCCTTAAAGGAGCAAAAGAAAGTGGCAGCCACTGACACGGAGCCGGTATGGGAGCTGTGACTCATGGCCCTGCCTCTTCTCATCCAGCCAGGTCCTGCTGCTCCCACCAGCTCTCAATCCAACATTCCCAACACCGGGCTGCTACAGCCCTGCCTGAGCCTGCAAGAGACAGTACAGCTCCCAAACTACTGGACTTCTCCACCTTGGGGATATTACGGGGCTGCTGGGCCTCACTGTGTCCCAGAAGGACATCCAGCAGGGATCTGGAGGCTGTGATGTGGAACATCCACCCCTTACTTCTCCTCAAACTCAGTCCAGATTTATCAACTGAATAGCAAGATGGTAACATCAACACAATAAGCGTGAGCTCCTTCCAAAGCCAGGTCTAGCAGGTTGATTTCTTTATTACTGAAGAACATCCAACCCATGACAACCACACCACCCCAGTGTTGGACAGATCTGTTCCCACCACCAGAAACCAGACAGTGAAATGAAGAGCAGCTTCATCCCAATTTCTGGACAGGAGCAGATGGAAACGCACAGAAAGAAGAGAAGAAAAACCAAAGCCCCAAGGATGATAACACACATTATCAGTTAGTGGTGGCCAGAGGCTAACAGAGCTGATTTGCACCAGGTCTGTCACCACCCATATCTGAAGGCTTTGGTCTAACCCTGTGGCCAGGAATGCAATAAAGGTGACTGTCACCATGCTGGCAGTCTGCAGCACTTGCACCTAAGGCACCATGCCACTGCTCAAATGTTAAACTTGGACACCTTGGGTGAAAAGAAACCAATTGTTTTAATGCCACTGCCCTGTGTGCTGGAAGGAAGCCCTAAAGGGGCTCGGGGGGGGGGGGGGGGGGAGCACCGAGGAATACAGCCACACTAAGCACAGTGCTGCCACACAGAGGGCTCTCTGACTTATGCAAGCACAGTAATGCCCAACCCAAAGGGTCACGATACAACCAAGCTGCTTACCATAGGCAAAAATCAGGTCCATCAGGACGCTGAGGTTGAGCTCTGAGTGCTTCTGAATCAGGTGGTAGGACATGGCACGGAGCAGAGGCACGCTGCGTCGGTTCTGGTACGCCAGAGCCAGCGTGATTTTCCTTATGTCCTCAGGGCTGAACTGCTCAGCAAGCTCCAGAGCCTGGTAAGAAACACTGAGACATAGAGAGACAGGCACAGAGCAAGGGACGTGCCACCCTCCAGGACACTGCTGGCTGAGCCCCTCCAAGGACTGCAGGGTTTCCATACACCCTAACGCTGTCACGCAACAACTGCTGCAGGAAATGCTGCTGAATCACTGCCTTGCTGCCCACTGTAACTCCTGTTTTCATCTGCCCAATGTAGAATGGCCTGGGTTGCAAAGGACCACAATGCTCATCCAGT